TTTTTACCGGGACGTCTAAAGTGGATTCAAGAAATAATTCGAGTCTTAAGTCACGGTAGAAATATCTTCGATAGGATATAGGTATCTATACGAGGTAAGATGGTTTCGGCTTTCGCCAAAGCATAATGTATATAAACAGGATATAGGCGGATGCACCACAAAATATATGAGTATGAAAGAACGCAATGCTACCCTATTGTAAGCTTATATTGTCGTTATTATTTCTTTTGCCGCACACGGATTTTACGAAACATTACAGTTCTTGCATCGTATACTTATGGTGTTGTCCTCGTAAAAGGATCAAAGAATCTTACGAGAATTCACAAATTCTGCTGTATTCTTCGCGAGTGCATTCTACAAAAATAAAAAGCTTACAGTCTGCTTACAACTGTATATTCTCTCTTCTTCTATAATAGTTATAATTTTTGAGAGAAAAAAAAAACGCTTCAAAAAAAAATTGAAAGGTTATATTAAAAAGAGAGTGAAAATAAGATTCATGGTAGAAAGTCAATATTCAAAATGCACAGGAATGAAAAAGGAAATCCCGCGCTGTGGAAAGTCAACACATTGCAGCTGAAACGCGGAAAGCGAAATATTGACAGCTTACACTTGACCTACATGCGATGTAAAGAGTGAGTACATCGGTGGAACGTTGAACGAAATGCACGTGCTCGTGTAATAAATGGATAAAATAGCGCGTACACATACACTGCAACAATACATGTGAAATGGTAGCATTTACACATAAATAGAATTATAAAAACGTCAATCTATAGAGTACCCTACAAATGTCGTGAAATACTTTAGAAGTTGAAATTTGAATATTAAAATTATGTGTGTGTATTATTTTATTACTATCCAAAAAAGATCCAAAAAAAGAAAGTACTAATAACAGATTAATTTTTTTCCGATCGTACTAAACGAAGACAATTTTTAATAATATTATGCATTTAATTTCAGTTTTTTAAATGACAAATTATTCACTCGTACAAATATTTATTTTTTAACATCGAGCAAGCGACGCTCACTTCATACCAATGAACCACGAATGAATCCGACATGACCGACGCGATCGACGTAATTGTTCGAAAATCACAAATGTTCGAAAAAATGTTAACGTGCATACTGATTTACGCTTCGCGACAATCGCTCATTATTGAACCCGACAATCCCGACGCGTCCGAATCCGAGATATACGTTTTTACGAAATTCGAAAGACGACAACTTCACGCCGATGCTCGAAGCTTCGACTTGCCAACTGCAACGATCCGACGCGACGCAACAGGGCGGAATTGAAATTGTGTTTAACCGTCGCACGTACAAATTTATGCTAATTTATGCTACGAGAATCACTCACTTGCACTGCCAGATTCAACACTCCCGATGCGCTAAAGGCCTGTTCAAGACGCTCGGAAGATCGCGGCAACTTCACCCCGATTCTAGAAGTTTCGACGCGCCAACGGCAACGATCCGACCAGAGCAACGCCACACGATCTGCAGGATTGATATCGTGAAATACGGATCGTTTGCCGGCCGCACGTACTAATTTATGCTCCATGATAATCCTTTTCGACACTACTCCTGTAGTGTAATGATACACTACAGGAACCAGTAAGACATTTCACACCGCGGCACTTCACTCCGATACTTCGAGCGAGCCAACGGTCCGCGATTAATAAGAACAGACACGCGTTACTCCTGACGACAATCATTTATCGCCAGATTTTATGTTTCCGACAATCCTATAACACTCATTTCTCATACGAGGCTCGTTCTGAACGGAAAAAGTACGCACGAAACACGGAACGACGCGAAGTACCACGAAGTACGTACCGACGCGTGCCGGGCAGTGCCGGCTCGTCCAACGAACTGACGGCGCGATAAGCGTGATTTACACGGGGCGACTTTTATTCGCTAGAAGCCGCGTCTAGTGACGTCATAGCGAATTCGCTATTAAAAACTTCTTCAAGACGCGGGTTTGTTCCTATAGCGTACAGTCGCGGCGAATACCGCTTTCGACGCTTGTCGCTAGCTTGTCGCTAATTAATTAATGAAAATTAATGAAAATTCGAATACGTTGAAAAATTACGATGTTTTTCGATGTACTACGTGGAAAAGTTGAACAACATTCTTGCACGCTAAGAACCCGTAATTGCAAGTTGTCGATATGTTAATTATTATTAATTTTCGCATATGTAATATTGATTTTTCAGTCAATTTCTGACATATAGAAGATTAAGACATATAGAAGATTAAATGAGTTATCTACCCCATTTTTGCTCCGCTGTCCGATGCCTTGCAGGTCTCCTCCTCCTTTCAGAGCTTCTCGCACTTGTATAACACAACACTCGCGAAAACATAGTTTATTATAATCGCGCATATTAATTACAAGAATAAAAGAATTACACGGCATTTTGCACAGCACTCACGACGTCAGCCATGTGCGACATGAAATTTGCATTGTATATACAATTTGTATTGTATTGGGAAAATAACGCGGAAGGCGTCACATTACCACTACGAATCGCAAATCTTACAAATTATCAGAACAAATATACGTAATATCATCAACGTAAAATCATTAACTTAATACATCGGCTGATAATTATACACGAATTATCGCACTTCAATGAGTAATTCCGTGATACGTAGAGCGGCTTATGCCGTTGCCTGCTCGTTCGAGTCTCATCGACTGAATGACAATACGTTGCGCCGATCGCACGTTGATGCCGTTGACCTTTGTGTACGCGCGCAGTACATCGTAAGAAACAACATAAATTGAATTTTGAATATTTAACGTTTTACGAAATAGATACACGACGAACATTCTGTACCTTACGTTTCGAATTAATTGTTGCCAAACCAGGGTTGCCACAGAAAATGAATTTAACAATTCCCTGACTTTTCCAGGTTTTCCAGATGAAAATTTTCCATGACCATATAAAATATGTAAATTTTAACATTTAAACTCAAGGATTGTAGGAAAGCTGTATTGTTAAAAATGCAAAAAAAAAAACTTAGTAGCATAGTAAAATTTTGGATGCAAATTCAAGCCAGCAAACAATAAAGTTGGTTTTAAAAAAGTAGTTTTAAAGTAGTTTTAAAAAAAAGAATGCGGTTACGATGAAAAAGAGGGATTAAATAAAAATGCTGAATAAAATATAAATTTGAATTATCTTGTTAAAATCGTTTAAAGTGCGCAAGTTTTGAACTATAAACGTCAGATATAATATTTAAAACATTATAACAATTATTTGGAATAGGAGTGGATTTAAAGAAATTGTGAACAAATTTCGAAATTCCAGACTTTTTTACATTTTTCCCTGGACTTTTCCTGGTTTTCCCGGTTTTTCAGGTCTGTGATAACCCTGCAAACATTCAATACATCACATTTGCGTAATTTGAATTACTCGAGCTGTATTCCGATTCTGTAAATTTTACTATCGACAGTTCAGTATCGTTACATTGTCGTTGAGCAGTTTTTTTTTACCGTATGTGATATCTGCGAAATAACAATATAAAGATATCAATTAAATATCGTTAAAAATTACAGAATCGTGATACTATTTTTCTGATACGATTCGTGCGTTCTCGAAATAACAGAATATGCAAATTATATTTAATTTAGCGCAAAATGTATTCGTAATAATTCCAATAATTAACCCATCGATATTACGATAAAGTATATAATAATTTGTAATTCTCATCCGCTATCGTTTCAATTCAAATAAATCATACGAAATATACGTTTCGATAAATAGTCGCCTTAACATGTACATGAATAGCCAAACACGAGAATTAATTACGCACGTTGATATTACACTGCATACATTAACAGAACCGACGCATTTGAGTTGGAAGAGCTTTCTAAGTATCTCTCGTGATTACATTTCGTAGTGGTAATGCGACGTTACGTGTACGGAGCGGATCGCATCCTCTTGCTCTAGTCTCACCGTGAGAATGGCAATACGTTCGCGTTATACGGTACACTTTCCGTCCTTTCGTGCGCAACAATAACAAACATCAAGGCCAATCTCATAACGGAATATGTAACGTATATTTGAATGTAAAGGGCCATCTACATAAGTCGCAAACGCAGAACGCAGTTGGCAGACGCATTTGCGACAATCAGAAACGTCAATGGTACTAATAACAGCTTTTCATTGGCTGTCGCAAATGCGTCTGCGAACTGCGTTCTGCGTTTGCAACTTATGTAGATAACCCTCTTTTAGGAATGTACTTTTATATATAAAAAATAATACGAAATAAATGTGTATGTGCGTGTGTATGTGTGAGATCGCATGAAACTATGCGAGTCATTCAATAATCTATAACGTCTTATTATTTATTAGCGACAAATCGATAAATATATAAATACAATTGCGGGTCTTAGCTTTACAATCCTGTTGATCAACTTTAATCGCTTGTAAAAATTATTGTAATTTAAAATTATTATAATTTATATATTTCACACACATGTGAGAATTTTTATTTAGGATTTTGTATAAATTTTAATTATTCTCTGAAATCCTAGCCATTGCTCTGCGGTGTACACTGTATAATATTAATTAGAACTTGGAGAGTAATTAAAATTTGCAGCACTGTGCGGAACCACATTGTGTATAATTGTCTAATTAATAAATAACATTATAAAATTCCATATTGTTGAGAATTTTTAAATTACCCAGCTGTCAATTAAATAAATAATATATTCTGCTAAACAGGCTTTAACAGAATAATGTTACATCGGTAACTCGCCAATTCCTTCAGTCGCTTATCAATGTGCACTCTAGTTGACACGAGTGCATCTCGGAAAATGTTGCACGCTCGATTTCGCAAAATCCGATCTCATTTTCGACGAAAATTTCCTATCCTATTCCTGTGACAGTTACATTACCGTCCTAGATACCGGGCCAGATTGACACGTATTTCCGGTCCTGACGTATAAATTTCGTGGCGGTTCCTTTTTGGTGCAGCAACGACATCAAAATCACCCTTACCTGATCACGATTCCATGAATCTGCAAACTCTCTCTCTCTCTCTCTCTCTCTCTCTCTCTCTCTCGGCGCGATTTCAGACAATTTCGACTGCACTTGGCGTATGCACCGACGGAAACGGAGAAATTCACCGTTACATAATGGCACGGGATGATTCACGAGTGCATCGTATGTCGACTCGCGTATATCGGATGGCTCCTCTTCCTTTCTTAATGTAGCAAGTAACTAATTCATGGGATCGTCGGTACCTGCAAGATTATGAAAATTATGTTAGCGTTAATGGCCGACATTATGCGGAAATGTGGTACTTATAATTCCGGAAGCTCATGTGGTTCTAAGAGGATGGAGAATTTTGCATTATCCTTTATGGGTTCTCTTAAATACACCAGCGCGAGATACGTTAATCCGAGTAATCGAATTATTATTGAAAGCAATGAAAAAAAGGATTCTAAAATTAACTTTTATTTTATAATATAATAAACGTATAATATTTTCCCGTGTAATATAAAATATTTCAAGCAAACTCTCACGTATCAAAACATGTAAGCCTTTGTAAAATATAAAAAGACCTTGTTATCGCCTATCTTTTGTGTACAATCGTAAATACGGTACTTTTACAAAAATAACCGAAAAACAATCGGAACAATTTCTGAATCGTGTACATTCCAACTTTACTGTACAACACCTTTGTGTTTACGTCACGTTTCCCTCAAAATTGCAAACTGATGGAAAAGATAAAAATGGAAAAGATAAAAATGGAAAAGATAAAAATGGAAAAAATTACAGAAATAAAACGCAGGAGAAGTTAACTACCTAAATCTATAAAATTCTCTTTTCCTGTCCAATTTTTAAAAAAATAAAATAGCATAAAATAGTGAAAGGTTTCGAATACTATCTCAAATACTGCTTTGTTTGTGACCACAAGGATAGGCTGTAATCTCACTATATGAGATGTACATCAACTAGCCGTTTACGAAATGGTGCATGAAAACGCGCTACCGCGTAATAAACCGCAGAGCAGTGACAATCAGTCGTTAAAAAGGAAAAGAGGATTTTAGACTGTCGTATTTTCTGTGCCGTTGCGGACCCCATTACCGACAATGTCGTTATTCGATCTGCGCACTGTCGACCACAACTTTCTCTACGAAACGAACTCGCCGACGCATTCTCCTGTCGACGGAAACGATGTTAAAGATAGGGGAGAACTTCCCCTCTCCTTCATCGGCATCGTAAGACAAAGTCTTATGGAATACAATATCCCGTCGCGACGTGCCTTCCACGCAGTTGAAGAAATGGCGAAGAAATAATTCAAAAGTTTCTCGCGAAACAGCTTGCACCGTGTCCGTTTCCCCTTTTTTCGCCCCGCTCATCGAAAACTCTCTTTGAAACTCGTGACTGCGCTTAGCGTATATTGCATCACAAATATAATAATACTAGCTCAAAGAATAATCAGATGCCGCAACATTTTACATGCGTTGTTTACGTGTTTTTTTTTTAAACAAGTAATTTCAATAAACCGTATACAACGTACAAAATGTAGAAGAGTATAAAAAATGTAAATTGTTGCCTGCATAAAATGTGCAAATTAAAATGTTATTGTACAACGTTTTTTGAATATATTTTGGATAAATGTATTTTCACGATCGATCATCAAGTTATGTGTGCTATCAACGATATCGTTACTGTTATGGGAAAAAATTTTTTGCGAACAATATTCAAACCACAAACAAAAATAAAAGAATTTCGGCAATTATTTGTTTTTTAGATAGAAATTCGTAACTTTCGAAGAATAAAATAAAATTTTTTTACAGATTTATATATCCCGATTCTGTAACTTTTAACGACAGTTCGATGTCGTTATGTTGTTGTTGCGCAGCAGCTTTTTCACCATATGTAATATTTGTGTATCGACAATAATATAACGATACTGACACTGTCGTTGAGAGTTATTGGCATGTTTTTAAGAATTCTGGATAGTATTCTAAGAATTTTGTTGAAAATTATTAAAGAAATTATTAGAGATATTAAATCAATTCTGATTAAAATAAAAAGATTATGACAGATAATAAAAATATAGTAGAGCTTACTCTACATTTTCGGATTCCTATTTTTACAGTTTGGTTAGATCTTTTCTTGTAATATATTAGACAGATATTAGATAGAAAGTCTTGTATAATTCTTCAAAGATAAATTAGAATTTAATCAATTGTACTGAGGCACTAAAAATGGAGTAAGTACTAACTTTATAAAGTTAACTCAAGATTTAGATTCATTTCTTTTTATATTAAATTTGATTTAATATAGTAGTAGAACTACTATTTTTGAATAAAGATAATAACAAACGGTTTTCTCTCTCTCTCTCTCTCTCTCTCTCTCTCTCTCTCTCTCGCTCTTTCTCGCCTAGTAGATGCCAGATCGATGCACCATTAGCTTCTCTTCGTCTAAAGATTCATCGCTTATTGATCCTAGTTTACATCATGACAAGTGGGATTAGGTACCATTTATTCGCTCTGACCAGTCGCTATGCCATTATTCAAGTCGCTTCGAGGATAAGCATTGTTAGCGTAGAAAGATAATGTCGGTTTAATTCTAAGACAATGAGGAATAGACTATCTGAATAATAAAGGTCAGTGAAAAATAACTTTCACTTACATAGCAACAGAATTTCGCTATTGCAGTGCAGTAAACCAGACTGTCGCACGAATGAATCAAACTTTATTTATCATTCCAAATTAGACATTGCATAATAGAGCGAATTTTACGAAAAGAAAGATACATTTTGTGACAATAAAACTAAAATTAAAATAATAAATTAAAAAAAAAAGAAATTCAGTAACTAATAAATATTAAATATTAAAGCAACCATATTATTAAAGCAAAAATATTTCATGAGTGTGGATGTGTAATAATTTGGCTGAGGAATGGGAAACGACGCGCGTATTTCAAAAATAGCATCGCTTTGTATCGTTCGCGTGACGGTGTATGGCTCTCCAAAACAGATTAAATTTATTTGACACAGCCAATCGCTACCTCTTGTTACCGTAACTTTATATGCGGCTATTGGAGATTGACTAGAGCCGCGCAAATTTAACCAGCGAATTTAACAGACACTGCTCAATCATTAGATTCAATTATTTTATTATACTGTCTATAAAGAGAGAGAAAGAGAGGAGATTGTAGAATATAGTTTCCTTCTAATCAATTCGATTATGAAATATTAATTGATATAATACGCTGCAAAGGAGATTTTGAAGTTATTAATATAGCTGATTATTCTATCATGCTTATTTAATTATAATCACATTGCGCAATTATTATCTATAGATTTTATATTTTGAAGAAAGAGAGATATATATTTCTGTCTCACAGGATATTTGCTCAATTGATCCATTATACTATACCCGAGGGATTTCTGATGATCCCCCTATTTCCCATCTTAGCATCCCTTTTTGGCACTGGCCGCAAAGGGATGCGCCACCAGGTACCATTTATTTGTCCGCTGTTCGCAACGTCATAACTCAAATCAACAGGATCAGATTATGATATATCACAGAAAATGCAATGTGTCTAGATTCCACGATATATAAAGCGTAAAAGTAAAAGAAAAAATTCTACTGTAAGACTAAAATTCAACGAAAGATTGCTGCATTATTCCATTCCCCAGAATATTATTCGTTTCCCTATTACAAAGAAATGTTTCTTATTCACAATTTGGACAACATTTCTTTCCTATATTAATTTAGAAATCCTATTGTAGTCTAAAGCAAAATATAAATGTAATTATATTTAATCAAAGTGCATATTTAACGTAATTATAATGCACACTATCTGTTTTAATCGAATTATCGTATATATCCGTTTATTAAAGCTACGTTCTTTCGATTAAAAGTGACTAGGACTTATAAAGGCTTCGACCCAATCCTGATGACACCACACGAGCATTGTCAGTGGTGAACGATGTCAGTGAGATTAGGGTACTTAATCGCCAGTGGCACATCAAAAGGGGGGAGCTATTCTGCAGCTCAGTGACACGTATTGTCCGTAAATGTGCCTTTTGTCATCCAATTGAATCTGGAATGTGTCATCTGCGCCACAAGAAAACTACACGCGACGATTCTGTGGCGTCGTCTTGGCCTCGCGAATCGGAATTGCGTCGAAATATCACGAAGACAACAATCAAGAAAAATTTTTTAAAGAAATAATATATATCTCTTGGATAAAATCTAACAAGGGTACGTGTGATTAAAGATAAAAATTTTTACATCGCACAAATTCATTAAAATTTTAATTAAAGTAGGATTCTTATCCTCTTTCTTAAGAAGGCAGAGTTTTAATTGTAAGGTAAGTGGAAAATTCAAATTTTTTTGCCCACTTCTCGTTGAAATATAAATTTTAAAATGCGACGTGCCATCGATATTAGATCGCACGACGAAATTTAACGAGAATATGAAACGGTCAAGCGATTATATTATTTCAGTAAAAAGCTGCTATATCGATTACAATCCGATGTGTTGCAATGCACGCGCTCAATTTATTTGCCGGAAATAATCTCGGATTCGAACAATGCATGATGTATGATATTTAACGTTCAGCTGTTATGTTTTCGAATGAGACTATACGATGTACAAATAAATGTGATACGAAATCTCATGCTTTTTTTAGACTTTACGTGTGCTTAGCTATTCTAAATTCAAAAATTCTCTCTCTCTCTCTCTCTCTCTGCTTGTAGCAAATAAAACAAAATTATGCAGTTTATAACAATGTAAATTAAGTATTGAATTACGCAGTTGCATACAATGTTATTAAATTAATCATAAGCGAAAAGATGCAATTACTTAATGAATTAGCAAAGTGTCAATTATTATAAAATTGGAATGTAAAAAGCAATATATAAATAATAAAAAAAGAGAACAAATTAAAAATCAACTTAGAACAGAAATTCTATATAATTTAAATAAACAGAAAAATAAACAATAAAAGTAATAAAAAAGTAATAAAATGTTATTCTGTAATATTTGTAAAATTTCGTAAAATAATAAAACTAAATTTCATTAGCATGTAATAACAGTACTTTTTTAATAAAAAAAATGGCAGCTATATATAAAATACAATAGATTGAAAAATATTTCACTTAATCGTTTTACATTTTTAATCTACAATTCATATTAGTTTTTGATTTTTTGTGAATAGTACATGTATCTATACCTTGACATACATGGACATTAATACGGATTCCTCAAAGGAACCCATGAAGACATCCTTGATATCTATTATCGTGGCCATACCTTGTAATATGTAGTATAATTATATCATTAGTATTAAGCAGAGTCCCGTAGCAGTATGGGGGTCAGATATTTAATTATGTAGTAAAAAATAAGTACTACAGGAACGTTCTCACGTGTATGGATCGCAAGGTTAATCGATATTAGGTATTCTTAGTACGGAGAGTCAGTCCGTCGAGTGACGGCAAAATTTTATCATCCGCCATGCAAACTCATGCGCTTCAGTAATCAACGTAATATAAACGGCTTCTCTTTGTGGAGAAGCTTTCAGCGGCGTTCCTGCACTATGCGCGATACAAATGTTCTGAAACTTGGACGATTATCTTCATTTAACGCGCCTCCTCTTTCCAATTCTAATCTCGCAAATTATTATTTAAATCTCGTGATGCCCTTCCACTATTGTCGATAAAATCCCTTCCTTCGATCACCGCGGATTAAGCCCAGTCAAATTTCAATTTCTCGGCCGAGAAGTCCCATCGTTCGAATCATCTGAATGGAAATTGAAGTGACCATTTTCGAGATCTATAATGTTATTGTAGAAACTAAAATTAAAATTCTTTAGATATATTTTAAAATTCAAATATATCTTACAATTATACATTGCCTTAAATATTATATTTCACTCGTACACGAAAAGAACGATTTTGCTGAAGTATCTAAAAATTTAGCTCGATACGAATCTGAGAATAATTTTGTTACGATGAGCAATGATGCAAAAAATTTTGACATTCTAGCAATCCCTGTTTAAAACGTCCCCTACATAACTGATTTAATAATCCAATCAAATTATTTTCAGATTTTTATCTTGCTAAATTTTTAGATACTTCAGTAAAACCGTATATTTTAAATACATTAAACCAAAAATTTAAGTAATTAAGAGGATCTATCATTCTTTATCTTATCACAATTTTGTTTAAATTTTCCAATAAAGTATCTTTTGATATATTATAGTAATTAAAAAAGCTCTATCAATTTACGATACTAAGTAAGCATAAAATGACGGAGAAAAGTCAACAATACGCTTTAAACGACGATCGACTGAATTAATGACAGGAAGGAGTTAATCGTAATATGGAATAAGAATTAACTGGCATAATTTACTGGCTGTTCTCGATAAAATTAGCCCTCTAACCGATCTTCGACGCTTCGTCATCATGAACTTGCCGCCTTTCTTTTTCCACATAATGTTATTCGTGTAACACGGAATTTTCCGAAGCGTAATGAATTTACTTATCGTACGGAACTGCGTCATGAACGCACGTATCAGACTTGAAACATTTCAGTATAACAAATGTATTTATACCGTATACAGATATAATACGGAACCTTCAAATGGTATAAATACACAAAGAATATGAATATTGATTGCCATAGAAGAGAATATTTTTAGAATACTTTCAATATCGTATATTTCAATTCGATATATGCAATTTATTAATCTATTAATAAATCTAATAGTAAACTCCCACACAGTAAAAAAATACTATTCTTAAATCAATCATAAAATACTCATATATAAGCAAAAATTTTGTAATCTTGCTTTAAAGATTTTAGTCTTGATTTGATTGAATTTATATTGATATAAGATTTTTAATTGAGCAAGTCTTGAATTGAATGCAAAGTAATACTTGCATCAAAACAAATTTAATCGACTCAAATTAATATGTTTGAAGCAAAATCACAATATTTTGCTTATATAATAGTGTATTATGGTTAATTTAAGAATAGTCTTTTTTTCTGTGCAAGCAGAACGAAAGTCATTGACTTCAAATCGTTAAAATTAAAAGTCATTTCTCGATCAATCGCAATCCATTTTAATGTACGTCATGTTATCGTGCCGTTCTGTTTACTTTAATTATCAATATGATGTACTAATTATTGCATTCAATCCGCCGTCGTTTAATTAGATGAAAAATTCGTAGTAATTAACGAAGAGAGATAAAAATATGACAAATCATGAGAAAGTCTCAAGCACCGTTTCAACTTTCCCTCGAAATGTTATATCTTTGCGTAATGCGTAAACTGATCAGTATCTTCCAAAATAGGACGAAAAATATTGCAGGGAAAGATAAACGAGGAGATAAAGAGAAAGGAGAGAAACTTAAAGTTATTCCTAGCGCGATGAGAGTGTTTTACGACGCGACGACTCGCCATCGAGCAAACTAATTAGCATAATTCGCCCAAAGCGAACAATAAGGATCGACTGAATGATCAATGAATGACGTGCGGAAGCTCTTCCCTAATAAGCTACATGTTTTCCCTGGATGTAGTTTGTAAACGCACTAGTATAGTATGGTAATCCGATACTAAAGCGTCAAATATACAGAGGGTGCGACATGAAGGCTCTCTACACGAAGAAAAACAGAAATAAAATGAGGAGAGATCCCTCGGAAGAAAAATAAAAAAAAAAAATAAAAGGTCTCGTTGAAAATTAAATATGGCCAAGGTTTTCTATTGTCGTATTTTCTCACGTTGTCTGCGCTTATTCCATTTATTCAGTATATTTTTCAATATGCGAGTCTGAATAAACGGAAGAGACGTCGACGGTTTCACATCAAGCGATATATCGACAAAGATGCGAACTGGCAGAGCAGACAGACGTTGCAGCAATATATTTCCTCTTACGTTGCGCGCAAGAGCGAAAGGCACGATGATCTCCGTGCGTGTTTTCACTATTTTTCAGTATAACACCGTGAAAAGTACTGTAGAGCCCGTTATGCACACAATCCTGTTTACTTGTCTAATGGAGTTACGTAGACGACCCAGTGTTAGGCGGAAAAAGGAAATGACATTGTAGTCGCGCGAACTGCAACAACTAAAGTACAACGGTGTTAAACTGCCGGCGATATCGCATTGCAACGAGTCACTGTTCAGCCGAGTATATGCAGACGATTCCTTTTATATCACAGCTTATGACATTTTAACTTTTGCTACATGTTTCCGACTATCCGGCGAATGTAAATATAATTATTTTAAATAAATGAACATATTACTGTAAAATTCTGTTATGCAATTGCAATAATAAAATTATAATTATTACACATTACGTCATATTTTGTTCACAATAATTATATTAGTATTATATTAGTTTATATCAGTTTTATTAATCGTTGCATATATAAAATTTGTTATAAATAATCAAGCGTTATCTACGAAGATGTATACATATTGAATGTGAGAGGAAAATGTTTGGTATTTACGATTATAATTGCAAAGTAAATAATTGTAATACAATAGATATACGATAGAGCTCCATTTTTATAGTTATTTTTGTTATAATAGTATAATAGTAATTTACTGTTATATTATTATACTATAAAAATGGAATTCTGTCGTATATCTCCCACAATTATTATTTCTAAAATTAAGATATTTTTTAAGATTTATCCTTTGTATGATTACTATGTATTACTATAATTATACAATTTTTGGTAGAGCAATAAATATAATTATTATTACTAATAGTAAATAAGGATAAATTTTAAAAAAACATCTTAATTTTAGATATCAATCCAAATTCCACTTACGCGAGAAATGACTGTAAGTGATAGTTAAATTATGGCAACCGCAACCATCATTTTTTTCTCTCAGTGTAGAGTAACCTATGTATACTGATCACTAACCTACGATATTGCGGAATCGTCTTGAAATTACTCAAAGTTACCGATTTGATCGTACGAACGAGCGAAGGAAATATCGGTCTGAAAGAAAAATTCCCTGAGGAGAAAAATATCGTTACTTGTCGTACACTTTCAGAAAAGTTTCTCGTTCATTGAAAAACTTGGCGTATTCACATACGACTGCAATCTATCTGACTGCGATTTATCTGGATAACAGATTTGTATTTTAAACTATTCCATTTCCACTGCATATCATATGTTACGGAAATACGGTATCGATTCGGCGCAATATGTCCAATACATAATCTTTCGGTCTTTCATTTCCTTCACAAGAAACAGTGCATAATATTATATTCAACTCTCGATATTTCAAGCAGAATTCCTGAATAATCTTGCTTCATATTTAAACGTATCAGTTTTACGATACAATTATCAGCCTCTAGATTTTATAAAATTTAACGGAAGTACCTCATGTTAATCGTGTTCCCTTGAGACAGATACTACGCATTCGTAATAAAACGGAACGGTACGTTCTCCGCAATCATATTCTCTCTCTCGTCCGATAAATACAAATCTCTAATTTCACTCTATTATCGCGAACCATATTCATCATACAGACCTATACGGAAAGAACACTTTTGCTGATAAAAAAATTTAGCTGGACATGCAGATCTGAAAATAATTTTGCTGGACTATCAAGATAATTACGTAGAAATTTATAATGAACAATGCTGCACAAAATTTTGACTTCCGGTTTAAGCATTCTGTATAATTATTTTAACGGTCCAACAAAATTAATTTTCAGATCTGTATTTAATTACATTTTTAAATATTTTAGCAAAATGCTTCTTTCCGTGTAAACAGCACAGAAAGTCATTGTAACATTAAAATAACTCCAAAATTATCATTAAAAGTCACTTTTTGATTAGCCATGATTTATTTATAATATCATTTTGATGATATCCACTGTTTTGCTTGGAAAAAAATTCTAGTTTCTTTGTACATACGAATAAGAAGTACGAACAAAACAAATTTTGATCAAATAAATCAGAATTCTAATTATCGTAACTAAATTTCTGGTAAGCTCGATTAAAACGTTTGATAGATTTTACTATGAATGCCTAATCCGTAACTCTGATTAAATCTACCTGAATTCCAATTAATGCAACAAGACTTTTATTCGAGTGCTTAAAATGCACCTTGATTTAAATATTAATCGAATTTTCACCCGCAGTCTCCCTTCTTTTCTCTCTCTTTCTCTCCTTTACTACACTTATCCTCTATTACACTCACTTGCGATATCGGGCGATCCAAGGTGTCGAGACCCATCCACTTGTCGCGACGCGGAGTGCAATCATGGAACACCTTTGCGGGGGTGGTCGCGCGCAGCCGACAGTGATAACACGGTGATAGGAGGGGTGCCGTGGTCACTCGCGCACCTGTCCAAGTCCGCGCCGACCGATTTCGGCGGTCGCGAAGGACGCGATTTATATATATATATATATATACAATATACG